AAACTTACTAAATATTTATTGAAATGTAACATAAAATAATAATATATATTGTATAAAAAATAAAATATATACATATATAATAATATACATATATATATAAAATATTTATTTAAAATAATTAAAATTAGCTTAAAATTGATTTCATATTAATCTCATCTTAAAGTGTCCCAGATCTAACGCACCACCTGTTAATAGCAGATTCCTAAAGTCGTTTTAAAATGAAAATTCTAATACCAAAATGTCGAGGCTATAATTATATACAATTTGAAAACTATTATAGCCTCAACATTTTGATATTAGAATTTTTTTATCTCAAACTTCAGAAATCTAATAAATGATGCAGTAGGTCTAGGACATCATGTATATTATATAATAAATCTCGAATTGAATAAATGGTTGTTATAGTATGTAGGCAGATGATACATCCGTTGTCGTCAAAATAACAGATCGCAAGACGCTGAGACATGTGACATGTACAGAATGTTCTATATGTTGTAATTGCTAAACCAACGGTGAAATTTGATGATAAAAAATCATCACAAAAATTTTGTATCTTCTCAATTCTGTAGAATTAAATTTAAAAACGATCAAAAACTTGTTAAAATACACTTTGAGCTCCAAAATGCTTCTTCAAGTTTTTACGATATTTCACCGAATTTTAATGTTGGTTGTGAGCTATGAAAATTTAGCTTCAATAATGCGCAATTCGATCAAGAAAAGTCATAAGAAAATGTTTAAAAAAGCATTTTGGAGGTAAATCTTTGTTTTACAAAAATATTGAACTTTTCGAAAAAAAATTTTTATCAAACTGCGCATTGTTAAATGTACGTAATTGTAAAAAATACATGATATTTGTTAAGATACAGAACTGTAAAAATAAAATTTTTTTTGAAAAGCGGTCAAAAGCATGCTAAAGTATAAGTTTCAAACTTTAAAATGCTTTTTTATTTTTTTATCTGCGATGATTTTTTACCAAATTATGATCTGAATATTATGCAATTTTAAGTTCCATATTCGGAAACTTTTCGGGGATGTGTGTGTGTGTGTGTGTGTGTGTGTGTGTGTGTATATATATATATATACATGAAATATAGTATTTACACAGTAATAAATGGAATTTTAATACGAAAAATCATTCAATCACTATTAATAATCATTTAGTGCAAAAAATATACAGTTTGAAATAGAATAATAACATTTCCGTTCTATTTTATTTATTACAACATTTATTGATCCTACAAATAAATACATATATATTTGTTAATTCTATAAATACAAATTTATAATTTTTTTATTTCGAATCAACTTATTTTTTGTTTATATACTAAAAAAAATGCATGGAATATAATTTCTTTTATTAAACAAATATTTTTTATAAACTTTATATAGTCTAGTATGAGTACGTATTGCTGTAACATAATCCAATTGTTACTTCATTTTATCTCAAATAATTGCAATAACAAATATTTTAGTCAGAAAAAGAAAGCTATCCATTGTCCATCCTTTTCTAATCTTCACATTTCAAACCTCACACCTTGGTCTATTCTTGTTATAATATTAATTATGTATATAGGGAACATATATAGAGAACTTTGATTTTGACTATATTATAGAGATAAGGATACTT